GGAGACTGGCCATCTTGTGAATGTGAATAGTCAGAGAGGCGTGGCCTGTGGGTTAGCAGCAGAGCCCCCACAGACTAGGTAACCAAAGTTCGCTAGGTTACAGAATAGTGATGAGGGCTTCATAAAAATGTAAAGAAGAAAGATCAATGCATGCATCCGCTGTACCGAAGAGGTATTGTCAGTGATCAGTTAAGTCATGCTCCGCAGTGCCTTAATGCAGCAGTGCAATGAGAAGTCATGCAAATGTCCACAGTACACAGAACTGATGGACAAAGAATGGGAATCATCGAGGGTGTCTGCAGGGAAGGGTCTAGTGAAAATGTTCATGGAACTGCTGAAAGGACTTCTAATGACCTTGTAATAGGAGTAATCGTAAAATACCATTAGACAACTAAGTGATTTTTTTTTTCATTATTACGAAACCCCTGAGTAAGCAAGTGCAGATTACAAAGGGCCACACAGAAGCAGAGCATTTTCTAAACAAGGCATTCTATGTACATTTCACAAGGAGACAGGCTGACTGTGTCCAGGTTACATAAGATCATGAAGAGCATCTGATGTCAGGCCCTCTAAGTCCAACCTGAGCTCAGTTAACGGGAAAATGGCTGAAAACATATTTCTTTACTAAAAATTTCTAAATAAAATATCTTCTTTCATTTTAAACAGACTAAAAGGTCACTTTTAAACAAGAAATGAAACATGAAGGTGGAAGAGCCAAACAGTTTTAAAGCGTATGACAAACGTCAGAAACAACTGATTTTAACTGATAATTCCAGAGATGTGCCACTAAGAGGCAATTTCTTGTAGGACATGGTAATTTAGCAAGATACTCCATCATTTCCTCCAGAAAGTTCCCCAAGATGCCTGGCTGCCCTGTATATTCTTCATGACCCACTGGGTCTCTCTACTGCCTCCTCTGAGATTTCTTTACTCAGAGATTTTACATCAGATTATATTTGCTTAAATGTCTTACTTAAGTGATTTCTCCACCTCAAAATGAAGTCTACTTTATATTTTTCTTAAAGATACTCTTATGAAAATACATAAACTCAAGATCATTCAGTCATTCAGTTTGCAGACATATACTTAATTAACACTCTAAGACAGAAGACTGCAAATGTTCCTCGTAGGTGTCACTAACACCACAGACCACCTTTGTCAGGGGCCTGCACATCTTGATGTTCACCCACTTTACAACTACAGATGGGACTGTCACTCTTTAGGAGGGAAGAAGGGGCAAGATCCCCACTGACTGAGCCCCTCGTCCCAGGTGTGGGCCACACACTCTTCCTATGTGCAGAGAATGTCACTGAGGAATGCAGGGTAGGGCAGTTAAAGCGCAAGATCTGTGCTCTGACGGGGTAGTGCTGGCAACCCACAACAGTTGAGACAAGAATAATAAGCAAGGCTGAACTGTGGAGTCAAGAATATGCTGCCGGGGGTTAACGCTCAGAAGGGCACCCACCTATCTGTGACAGGGTTTTCCCAATCACTATTTACAGTTGAATACTGCTCTTCAAGGTGCATTCCTGGGGGCTGACCCAATATGCACTCTGAACTCGCTTAAAGCTCTAAGAGCTGATGAGAAATCCACCTCTGCTTGACAGTCAAAAGAGTTTGCCCAAGATATGCTTCCAATCTAATCTTTTCCACTAGAGTTAGTTTTAATGAATCAACTATGTTTTCAAATGGCAAAAGAACTGCTATTACTGAACTCTGTTCAGTTCAACAAGGAACCAGTACATGTAAGGCCTCACTGCTTCTGAAATAAGCAAGCATGATGAAATGATGTCAGAGGTGTGGGTAAGGGATTGAAATGGTGCCTCTGAGCTTCTAATACACAGAAGACACGTTCTTTTTCATTCACATTTGTTCTAAAGGCTATTTTAGAAATCTTAAATATTTTTTTCAGCAGTGGGAACATGAGAACATGAGATGGATTACTCTACCAATAAATATTCTAGAGTTTTCTCATCTTCTCTCACTGTTAGAATCTCTCCCTAAGAAAGCTTAGGAGTGTGAAAAATCCTGGAGGATTGTGGAGGAAAACGTTTAATTTTTCTTATAAAGTAACTGAAAACCAGCACAAACTATATCTTAGCTAAAATGGTACAGGGAATAACACAGACCTTGGAGGAAGCTCTGTTTGTGCCAAGTTTCATTCCACTCATGTTGAACTTTATTATTAGATTCACTTTCTAATTATTCTTTTATTTAAGAGTTTTACAAATCTTAGTTAAACTAAGTATGCCCTACTGAAGAAAATAACCTATCAAAAACATTAACCTTGGAGCACTGGTGGCCTAGTGGCAAGAAGTTGTGCTGTAATCCCGAAGGCGCACGGTTCAAATCCACCAGATGTTCCACTGAAGGAGGAGGGACAATCTCCTCCAGTGCCAGTCGAATTCAATTTGATGGTACACAAGAAGAAGAAGAAAAAAAAAAAAAGGAAAAAAACCCAAAAACCAAAGAACCACAATAATAATTAATCCTTTCTAGGATACTAATAAAAGAGCAATTGGAAATGCCCATTTATATGGGCTACTCATGATTCTAATTTTTGGTTTCGAATTGATATTACATGTCTTGTCCCCAGAAAATAGAGTCAGGTACATGGGGCAGTACCCGTGCTGTGAAGTGGCTGGGCAGAGCAGCTTCATTCGGGGTCAGCGCGCTGTCAGTAAAGCTGAGGACCGTCCAGCATGCCCACCTGTAAGAGACTCCATGAGTCCAGCTGACATAACAAGGAGAACCAGCAGCTTCCAGAACTGCTCTGCTTCAAAACACTGACTACTATATCCCCCAGACAGCACACTGCTTAAAGCACCTTCATTCACAGTGTAAGCAAAGATCTACTGTGTTCTCTTTCCTCTTAGGAGGCTATGACAAGGGTAGAAGGCCTAAATGAGGCCCTTGGCCTGCCACCAAACACGTGGGACAGGGAAGGAGACCCACACCAGATACTCAAGGGCGTGGAGGGAAAACAACACAGAGCGCATGCAGCTCAGTAGCAAATGGAAAATACAAAACCATCAACATCTGTTTAGCACCTCAGTCCTGAAGCATGTCATGTTGTTTTTTTAAATTTAAATATTTTCCTGAAGCCTTTGTGGGTAGAGTACTGGCTTTATCAATTTGGGCTAAATATACTCCTAAATAAATATGTTAAAAACAGACAGAAAACAAGATCTGCACTCCTGCCTTTGGAGGCCTCTTGCCATCTAAGGGAAGGATTTTCTGTGCCCGAGATTTGCAGACCCCGGGGCTGCTAAGGGGCCCGCCCCTGTGCCCCTCAAAAGAGTCGCCTTCTGCCTGGGGACTCCCGCAGGAACCTTTTAATACATAGGTAGTGGATAGGGGAAGGTACCTGACTCTCCCATACACCATCACAGCCTCTACTAGATGTAAGAGCCACGGTTTGGGCATCACATTTTTCAAGGGAGTGACTACTCAGGATCACCTGACAAAATATCCAAGTAACTTGGATGCTGTCCTAAAGCTTTTGAGATTGATAAGCAGCTGCATTTCATTCGCTACGCTCCAAGCCTGAGATGGAGCCAAGATGTCCTGGAGCACATGGTCAGAACTGCCATGGGGGCAGTGCCAAGTCCTGCTGGCTGGGTGCTCATGCTGTGTCGATGTAAACTGCTGCCAGTTCAGCTCAAGCCCCTTCCTGCTCCCCCTTGAATGATTTATTTAAAGGACAGCCTCTGGAACAAAAGGGTGTATCATTTGTAGAAGACAGAGGATTTACACTGGAATCTAATCTAATGGTTCCTCAACCCTGTGTGTATAAATAAGAACTACCTGCGAAGTTTATTAAAATAGATTCCTAAGCCACACTCTTTAGGTCAGGGTAAGGCCAGGGACTCTACTTTTTAGATAAGCTGTTGTTGTTGTGTGCCATCAAGTCGGAAGCAACCCATAGTTGATCCTCTGATGGGTTTTCAGAGGCAGTTAATCGCACAGGAGACTGCCTATCCTTCTCCCGTGGAGTAGCTGGTGGATCCAAACCATGTGCCTTCAAGGACTGCAGCACATTTTCTTACCACAATGCCACCAGACCTCCCTTTCAGAGCTCCTTCTCCATAAGATTTTGATGCAGAATTGGTCCACTGACCACAATGAGAAAACAGCATTTTATAAACATATATCCACTGGCTTTTTCTGCAGTTTCCTCCCACTTTGAAATTACTGAGGACAAAAGTCCTGATTCTTCTATTTACAAGCTGCATAAATGAGGTTATCACTCAAGTTCTAACCCTTACTTCTGAAATATTGTAATGGTGCCTTTGAATGCCACAACTGTGCAGAGCCATCTTAACAGATCGCATGTGGGAAAGTGTGCTGGGTGGGCACTAGATGTGTGTCATCTCACATGGTTAGACACTCTTCTCCGAGAGGGGTGTTAGGGTACCTCTCTCCAGAGAATCAGTCTTGCACCTGGAACAGGATGGCATTAACGCCTATGTCTTCAGCACCTTGACTACATGGGCCAACTTGCCAATAGGGTCATGCAGAAGACGGAAAACTAAAATTAACAGTCAACTCTACTTTTCAATAGCTTCAACAAGTTCCCTTGGAGTTTTCAGTTTAAACTGGTTGAAACACTGGCTATACCCATTGACACAGACTTTGCTCATTTTCACCTTGGGCGGTCCATTGAAAAATCAAAATAAAACATAAAGCCAACAAATTAATTTGTCAAATCTGCTCTTACAACTTGTTCAAATCTAAAATAGCAGAACAGAGATTAGCTACATGATTGTTTCCAGTTGGCCCTCTGAACTGAAATATATAATAGCACCTTGATTTTTAAACACACAAAACACATATGCACTTAAAAATTATATATAAAAGCACTAGATTTTTGCCTCTTCTGCCATCCTCAAAGTATGAGGCTGGAGAGAGTAGATACTGTTGCTGTAATTAAGTAGAGCAACAAAACACTTTAGCAAACTTGATTCCCTGAAGGGAGAAGGAGGCGCTGTCTGCAGTTGTCATACCACCTCGTCAGACTCCAGTCCGTGGACCTCATATAAAGTGTCCAGAATGGCCAGCTGCTTCTCCATGGCAGGAAGGTAAAGACTGAGGTCCCTCTGCATCCCAAGACTGAAGGCTTCTTTCTGGTGGTCACCTTCCTTTATGGTCAACGCAGCCACAAAATCTTCATACGATGGAGCGGCCCTCAGAGCCAGCTGCAAAAACAACAGCCTGTGAGAATCTGCACCATTTTTTCTCTCTGGCACATGTATTCTTGAACACAAATAAACACACAGAGCTGAGGAAAAGGTGAAGAGATAGAAAAATACTCCTTTAATTGCTAGGCTTTCTAAAATTAAGTGTACACCCAAATCACGTTACTTTAAGCCTGGAAAAATCAAGTATGCATGCGGGCCATCTTAGAGAGGAGTAATGCCCTCATACTACGGAACAGAGAATGAGCTTGAAGAATGTTCTCCTCCTTCTTTACAGTGTAATCACGACTCTGCAGGATCACCTACCCTACACACATACTGCTCTGTCAGTCCCTTGCAGGATCACCTACATGCATACTGCTCTGACAGTCCTTTGGGGGAATGTCTACACACGTACTGCTATGACAATCTCCTGCAGGATCATCTACACACGTACTGCTATGACAGTCCCTTGCAGAACACACACACTGCTATAACAGTCACCTGCACACATACTGCTATGACAGTCACCTGCAGGATCACCTACACACATACTGCTATGACAGTCACCTGCAGGATCACCTACACACATACTGCTATGACTGTCACCTGCAGGGTCATCTACATGCATATTGGTTCCACATGACCAGCCTCCAAGGGCACCTCACTCTCCTTTTTGGGTCTTGTCAAGTCTGTCTTTGCCCCTCTGTACATCTTCTATCTTCCCCTGCATGGATAATATATTCTTTGCATCCTTGAATGTTTTCTAAAAGGGAAAGAAACTAACATTTATTGTTTCCTTGTGTACTAAATGCTTTAATTTCTTTTTTTTTAAAAATTCCATTTATTCTAAGAACTTTCTATAGTAGAGGTGCTATTGTATCTCCACTTTACAGACTAAAAGTTTCAGAGCTAGGATCTGAATCCAGCATCATTTCTGGCATTTTCAGCCTCATGCGACTTCCCTAATGGATGATTTCTGATGTTCCTTATACTTCTTTTCACTCAGCTGGTCAACCATTTCCTACAATTGCTAAATCCTGCTGTCTGACATACACTGGGTTGACTCTACTGAGATCTTTGGTTTCCTCCTTTAGAATAAGCTTAATTATCGTCTTCCACCTGTTTTCCTAGGCTTCCTTATACTCTGAAAGTCTTGTGAAATAAAGTGATTTGTATTATCATGCAGTGGTTAAAGTTCAAGCTTGAGTCAAGCAGACCTGGATTCAGATCCCAAAACTATTATATACTTTTTTCTGTTTCTTGATATACTGATGAGGACTACTGTCATTTTTCTTATTTTTAAGAATTAATGGAAAATGTATAAAAATGTCTAAACCAATGCTTGACAAATATTAAAAAAATGGCTTGTGTTCAAAGGAGAACAGAAAATGAAGGAAGGCAATTCCCAAAACATAATCAGAGAAAACTTCTCAGATCTGAAGGATATGAACCTCAAAGTTACTCAATCAAGAATCTGAAACAATGAATGATGAAGACTAAAAGGGTATATTATAAATTTTAGAATGTGGAGATAAAGACAAGATCATAAAGGCATGCAAAACTGGGCCTTGCAGTATTGTTTATAATATAAACAAAGGAGCGTATATAGAATATAGATAAGGAACAGTTTATAGACAATTAACGAAACAGGAATTGGAATAACACTGGATTTTATAATTTTATCACAGGAAGCTGGAAGATACTAGAGTAATGCCTTCAGAACTCTGAGGGAAAATTATTACCCTGGAATTCTATACTCACCCAAATCAGTACTCTAGAAAAAAGGGGGGGAAATACATATTTTCAAACAAGCAAAAACTATTTTTTTTCTTGAGTATTTTCTCGGGAAGTTCCTGGAAGGCAGGTATTACTGATTTAGTTAATGCTGCCACCTCTCTGTCATGGCCAGTGAACTGGAACTAACTCATAGTTGCTCCTCTGTGGGGTTTCCAAAGGCTATAAATCGCAATGAGGGAAACTGCTCGTCCTTCTGAGGAGCTGCTGGTGGATTCGAACCACCAAAGAATTGTGGTCTTTGAGTTAAGAGTGCCCCTGCCTATGGACTATGTCACCAGCTTCTTTAAATTCCTAAACAACCTAGAACATGCTAATGGTGTTGGCTGGGGAATCTAATACAGGGAAGGCTGTTATGGAAAGTCCTAGGACAAGATAAGTACATCAGCCTTGAAAAACTATTAACTCAGATTGAGTGAGTAGGCATTTACTTAGAAGTTTCTGGAAGGAACAGTGGTGTGGCAGAGTGTAGAGAGAAGGAAGAATTGACAACCTGCAAATTCAGAATCTGGGTCATTTTAGATATCTGATGGTAAAAGAAGGGGAAATACAAAAGTTGTATAAGAATAAAGAAAAAAGAATGGAATTTTAGTTCATCGAAATGTCAATACTGACAGCAAGAAGACCTCAGGGAGACAAATAATAATTTATTTTAACAGAAAATTATCATCACTGACTAAAATAAACAAAGTTACAAAGTGAATAGATAGAAATACAACGGAAATGCTGGAAGAAATAACTGCCTCAGTGAAGGTGGTGGCCTCTCTAGAGTGAGTTTGGGAAGCAGGGAATGTTGGGGTCTCTGGTTTTTGTTACAACTCGTTTTTTACACTTGTCTATTTGGGGGGAAAAAATCTCTATGCACATGTATTTAAATCAAGTAAAAAAACACACACACACACAAAAACCTTTTATTACAGTTCTTTAGAATGGGCTCAGGGCTATATTATTTCTCCAAAGGGCCTAAAGTACTGTGGTGCAGCCAACTTCATCTGGGAACCAATGACAGAACTCAGCTCTCCTGTTTGACCAAAGAGCAAAGTCAAGGACGAAAGCATCTAAAAGAAGGCTGGTTAGTGGTCATGCTGGAGGCAAAGCCTGGGCTACATGCCAGGTCAATAGATTGCTACTACTTTGAGATAAAAGTTCATTATTTGCCTGGCAGATAAATCAAATTCTCTGAATGTGAAAATGTTTCCTAGAGCAACTTAGATCAGTTGAAGTCAATTTGTCTCTGCTAACTGGCACATGTTAGCCACTCAGAACCTTCCCAAGTAGGAGTCATTCAGAGAGGTTTAAAAGACCAATCTAAATACAGATTTAGTTCCTCTATTGATAAGGCTGTTGCAAACCCCTGATATAATCTATTTTTTAAAATAATTTTAATGAGCATTTACAGAGATTTTGGATTTCCATTCATTCATTGCTGCACTTCTCTCCCCCTCCAGCCCGACCCCCGCAATCTATTTTCTTAAAAGCAGCAACCTTAAAAAATACTGGCAATGATACCAAACACCCTCAAAATGTGCTTACTCTATAAAACTTGAGAATATTACCACATCTTCTCTTTGTAACTCAGATTTCCTTGTTGGGGGAAAGAATCTCCCTTAGTTATGAGTTTAATAATGAAGGAGGTAAATTATTTAATGTAATGTCTAGTATTTTTTTTAAAACAAAACAAAACAAAAAAAACCCTGGCCTTTCCCCCAACGGAGAGATCACAGAATATTACTACTGACAGAAGCCATGCATTCCTGCTATTTTACAAAATAAGCTAAGTGATTTGTCTCAGAGACTTGATTCTCAAATGTGTGTTCTTCCTAGACCAACATGTTGGAGAGGAGGTGGGGGTGGGCAACCAGACACTCTTGCAATTAAAAACCTGGGTAAGAAGAGATTTCTAGCCCTGGAGATTTGCTGGCACTCGCCATCTATTTAATAGTCCAAGAGAAAATTCAACCCCAAGCTGAGCATTTGTTGGATTGAATGGCATGGTCAGCAGAGGGCGATATTAGCTTGAATGTATCACTGGTTTCCTTCAGTGGTAAGCATTTGGATTCTGCTTCCTATGAGCCCTGATAATACCTATAGGTAAGCCCTTCTGGAGAACTTCAACAAGGTTCCTGAAATTAGAGGAAAGCAAAACACACATTTTACCTAAAGGACTTTTTTCCTGTCTTTCTCTTCTAGATACTTTCACACACTTTTGGACTTAGACTAAATGGGCAACATTTTCTCTTTTCCTTAAAAACAAACAAAACAAACCACACACAGAGCAAAACCACTTTGTGACTAGCAAGACATTAGGACCAGAGAGATCTTACCGCAAACACACCTCGAACCACCCATCCATGGTGCCGCCGGAGTGTTTGACCATATGCATTATCTTAAAAAGAAGAAAGAAAAACTCCATCAGGAACCAAAGGTCATCAAAATGTGATGTTATCTGTCTTAGGAACTCATGAAAAAAAAAAGCCCAATTCTGAGACTCTTTACCACCGACCCCCCCCAATCTAAAACCTGGAGTAAAAAAGTAAATCACTTAGGACATTTATTTTGCATTTTATTTCAAAAGAATAATAGAAACTTCTTTTTTGCCTGAGCTAACAAATCTGAATTTCAGATTATTTGATGGTGAAAAAAACAAAACAAAACAAAAAACTCAGTACACATAAGGCAATAAAGAGGGAGGAAGAGATACTAGAAAATCTAAATGAAATATAATGAAAATACATCATAAAACTAGAAAAGCAAAGCTGAAACTTGCATGTCTCTGACCAGGTAGGTTCCCTTGCTACATTTTCAACCATCTTGTTTTTCCCTTTTAAAAATAATGTCTTTGATTCATCCCAAATAAAGCACAGAAAACAAAACTATGAATTTAGTTTTAGGGGAGCCACCTGAGTAGATTAAGGCACGGCCAAGAATCAATTCTTCAATGTAAGCTACATCTAAAATTGAGCTCATTCCTTTTAAGGGGACATGTGGTTTTCAGAGAACAGTCAGGCAGTACCTGCAGCCAGAGAAATGTCAGGACAGCCTCTGTGACAGCATGTGGAGAAATGGGAAGGGAAGAGTCCCAGGAAGTTTCTTAGATAAACTGCAAGGACAACTAAGTTTTCAACCACGTAAGTTATCTGGACTGATAAGATTCTTGTACAAGACCAAGGAAATATTCAGAAGAGAATTACTGGGGAAGCTGATGAAGATTTTTGTTTTATTTTATACTGGTTTACTTACAAAGTTCATAAAGTTCGTATACATTGTTTTTCACTCCGGATCTCTCCTCTTGGTGAAGATGCCTTCACTCTTATGAACAACCTAGGCAGGCCAGTGTTTAAATGGTGGCAGCTATTAAAATCTCACTTGCTCCATTCGTAAGTTCTGGAAAGAGTCATCCATCCTCTACATACTGTGGGGTGAAGATCCTCTCTGGTGATTCCAGTCCCTTGCCTCCAAAAAGCTTACAGACTGATAAGCAAGTCAGCCATGTGAGAAATCCTTATTCTACCAATCACTCAGTGCTCCACAGAGGTTTGTGCATAGCAACCCAAGTACAAAAGGATAAAGTCTCCCTGAGCCACCAGACATGTGGCAGAGAGGAGCATCAAAAGGTGCCCTGTGACTGGGTAGGGTCAGAGAGAAGGGCAGTGGATGGTGCTCCAGAGAGGAACCACATGGAATTGTAAAAGATGATGGCATGCCAGCAATGGTGAGACCTTCACTGGGACTCAAACATACTGAGGCCAAATTTATGTCAGGCCAAGGATTCTCAACTTCCACCTGAGGCAGAGCACCAGGCTTTCTGTTGTCTATTAAAGCGCGAATTTCTTTTTAATTATGCAAGTTATACACAGTAATCTTTTTAAAAATCCAGGTAGTACTGACAAAGCCCAAGCACCTTCCTTCCCATCACCACCTCTCTTAGACCTCCCTTCTGCTACAGCTAAAACGAGGTTTGACGCAGACCCTTATACGTATACATACAAATAGAAAAATGGAGGGTCTTTCATTTGTTCTTTTCCCCTCTACTAGTTTACAAAATTCAAATGCAAATTTGAACAAATTATTTCAATTTCCCCCCCCCATAAAATTGTACAGCCCAATGATTAATCCCCTCTTCCCCCTGCACATCCACATCCCTCTGCTTCCAGCCTCTCCCACCCCTCCTGGATCCTGATACTCATTCTACAGTAATGGTTTTATACAATATTTATCCTTGTGGGACTGAGTTAGTTCACCAGCAAAATGCTCTCCAGTCTCTCCCAGGTTAGGTAATAATTTACTGCGCTCTGCACAGTATTCCATTGTGTGAATGTACCATAATTTCTCAATCCATTCATTTGTGGTTGGACATTTGGGCTGTTTCCATGTTCTGGCGATGGTGAATAAAGCTGCTATGAACATGGGTGTACAAATCTCTGTTTGTGCCTCAGTTCTCATAATCTCAGGGTATATTTCAAGTAGCAGAATAGCTGGGTCATATGGAATTTCTATGTTCAGCTTTTGGAGGAAGCACCAAACTGCCTTCCAGAATGGTTGCACCATTTTACAATCTCACCAACAATGTATAAAAGTTCCTTTCTCACCACATCCTGTCCAACATCTGTTACTTGCTGCCCTGTTGTTAAAATTTGCCACTGTTACTGGAGTGAGATGGTACCCCCCTGTGGTTTTGATTTGCATCTATCTTATTGCCAGTAGTTTGGAGCATTTCTTCATGTGTCTGTTTGCCATTCAAATATCATCCTCTGTGAAAATTCTTTCCATGTCTTTGCCCATTTTGTAATTGGGTTATCAGTCTTTTTCTTGTGGAGGCCCAGGAGCATTCTATAAACTTCCGTTATGAGACTCTTGTCTGAGATGGTATTGCCAAATGTTTGTTCCCAATGTGTAGGTTTTCTTTTCATTCCGTTGGAAAAAGTTTTTGATGTGTACAGAGATTTAATCTTTAGAAGGTCTCATGTATCAATTTTATCCTCTTTAGATTGTGCATTTCTCATTGTATTTGACAGTCTCTTTATGCCTTGGACTAGTGCTTCTAAGCTTGATCCCAGTTTCTCTCTTATGAACTTTATGGTTTTGGGCTTTACTCCCAGGTTTCTGATCCACCTTGAGTTGATTTTTGTGTATGGTGTGAGATGTGGATCCTGTTTTCTGCAGGTAAAAGTCCAGCTCTGCCAGCACCATTTGTTAAAGAGGTTTTCATTTCCCAATTGGCTATCTTTGATTTCCTTGTTAATATCAGTTGGCCATAGATAGCTGGGCCTATTTCTGGATTCTCAATTCTGTTCCATTGGTCTATGTGCCTGTCATTGTACCAGTACCATGCCGTTTTGGTTACCACTGCTGTGTAGTAGGTTTTGAGGTCAGGGAGTGCTATGCCTCCACCTCATTTTTGTTTTTCAGGAGTGTTTTGCTTATCCAGGGTCTCTTGTCTCTCCAAATAAATTTGATAATTTCCCTTTCAATCTACCTGAAAAATGAATTTGGTATCTGGATTGGGATTGCACTGAACGTGTAGATTGCTTTTGGTAAGATTGTCATTTTCACCATATTGAGTCTTCCTGCCCCTGAACAGGACACATTTTTCCATATCATTAGGACTTTTATTGTGTCTTTCAGAAATGCTCTATAGTTTTTTTGTATAGGTCTCTTCTATCTCTAGATACATTCACTCTCAAGTATCTCAATTTGTGGTTGGCTATTGTAAATGGTATTGCTTTCTTTATTTCCCTGAGTTCTCTTTGTTACTATGGAGGAACCCTATTGATTTTTTTTATATTGATCTTATATCCTACAACCCTACTAAATTGGCCTACTAACAGTTTTTTTTGTTGAGTCATTGGGGTTTTCTGTGTACACTATCATATCATCTGCATATAGCGACAATTAAACCATTTCTTTGCCAATCTGGATGCCTTTTCTTTCTTTCTCTTGTCGTATTGCCCTAGCAAGCACTTCCAATACAATACTGAAAAGAAGTCGTGACAAGGGGCATCCTTGTCTGGTACCTGTTTGCAAGGAAAGTGTTTTTAGTCTTTTTGCATTGCGAATGATGTTGGCTCTTGGTTTTGCATATACTTTTCACTATGTTGAGGAAATTCCCTTCTATTCCAATTTTGCAGAGTGTCTTTATCAGATTTATTGGATTTTGTCAAATGCCTTTTCTGCATCTATTGCTAAGATCTCATGGTTCTTGTTATTTACTGTTAATACAGTGAGTTACATTGATTGTTTTTCTTATATTGAACCTGCATACTTGTTATGAATCCCACTTGATCATGGTGAATTATTTTTTTGATGTGCTTTTGGATTCTATTGGCTAGGATTTTGTTAAGGATTTTTGCATCTATATTCATCAGAGATACTGGTCTATGGTTTTCTTTCTTGGTAATACCTTTACCGGGTTTTGGTATTAGAGTTATGCTTGCTTCATAGAATGACTCTAGAAATGATCCTTCTTTTTCAATTTTTTGAAATAATTTAAGTAGAATGGGTGCTAAATCCTCTCTGAATGTTTGGTAGAATTCAGCTGTGAAGCCGTCTGGTCCAGAAATTTTCTTATTAAGTCTTTTTATGACCTTTTCAATTTCTTCTCTTGTGATAGGTCTGTTCAAGCGATCTATTATCTGTCCTTGTCAGTCTGGGCAGGGGATGCATTTTAAGGAATTTGTTTTACATAGATGGCAAAACATGGTATGCAGGACTTATAATTTTCCATATTGGCTTTACAATTTGGAGATATTTACATTTTACTAACTATGGCTGTTGATTTTTCAATGCTAGGCAGTCATCAGAACAGAGCAAGGAAACACTGCATGGTTCAATATTGGGAAGGGCGTACGCCAAGGAAGTGTCCTGTCTCCATACCTTTTCAACCTGTATGCAGAACAGATTATCCGGGAGGCTGGGCTCTATGGGGAGAAATGTGGGGTCAAGATTGGTGGAAGATCTATCAACAGTCTACGCTATGCAGATAACACAACCCTGCTTGCTGAAACTGAGGAGGACCTGAAGCGCTTGCTGCAGAGGGTCAAGGACTGCAGCCTCCAATATAGACTGAGGCTCAATGTTAAGACAAAGATTCTCACCACTGGGCCAACTGGCAGCATCAGGATGGATGGTGAAGAGACTGAGATTGTTCACAGCTTTAGATTGCTTGGCTCCACAGTCAACACTCTTGGCACCAGTAGCCAGGAAATCAAAAGATGTATAGCCATGGGAAAGTCTGCTGTTAGGGACCTCTCCAAAGTACTGAAGAGCAATGATGTCTCTCTGGAGACTATGGTGCATCTGATACAGGCCATGGTCTTTGCTATCACTTGTTATGCATCAGAGAGTTGGACAATGACCAAGGAGGACAGAAGGAGAATTGATGCCTAT